TCATGTCAATTGCCAAATCACAATAAAGTTATTTGAACAGCAGCTATTTAAAAAGTCATTAAAAAGCAAAAAGGAGGCTTACGTTTACGAAGAAAAGCAAATAATAGCAGTTTATTCATCTCCAACCGAATTCCAATCATGATAACATTTTATGTTGAGCTCCTAGCTCCAGCTCAATGCTGTCTTTCTTGTCATTTGCACTCTTAGATTCAAGGCCTTTCATTTGGGAATACTGAAATACTCTCAAGTTTTATTGAACGAATAGATCTAGAAAGGCAACTCTACAAGTGCCGAGGGCTTAGAACATTTCCACTCATCCCTACGATTGCAACGACCAAGAGGAACACACGAATTCGATGAAAATTAAAATTAGCATGGAGCCTGGGTTGTTTAGAATTTTTGTGTTAACCAGAAAACATCTGTTGATTAAATTGTGCCGAAAAAAAAAGAAACAAAAGTGTGAAAGGAAATAATAGACATATTGTTGGAAAAAGTTGCTTTATTTGGCTTCTCGATGGTCATACTGTTGATTAAGAGAGCTCCTTAGCAGTTCTAAAAAGCACGTATCTTCCCATACTAATTGAACGTTTACTGTTCATCTTCCTTTTTTCTCCTCAGTGAACTGTTCAAAGCTGGCAATATTCACTCAAACAATTTTTGTGTGTACTTTCTATAAGTATAAATATATAATTTTTCCGATGATAACGCGATTGTTATCCGAATGTCTTTGTACGCCAAAGCTAGTTGTATGATTGTACGTGTCTTATTAAGCGCGTATGGATTATCCCAGTGGATTCATGATTTTAAACAAAACTTTGATTAGTTCCCTTGCTTTGGTTGTTTGGTGCTTATGTTTTAACAGATACACGTAGTCTCCGAGAACATGTTTTTTTTTTTGTTGTCTTGGAACTAATTTGTTCCAAAACAGTGATGATTAATTGCGTACGTACAATAAGGCATGTGTTAAATGTGCTCAATAGAACAGAGCTTTTAAAATGTTATATTTATTCACCTTCGTCTTTATCAAAATTAATTTTTTAAGTTCATTGCAAATTTGATGATATTTTTAATGTAACATTTTCATATTAGTAAGCTTTAGGCCCTGGATTTATGATTAGTAATGCATAGTCAAGAAAGAATGGTTGTGCCTTATACCTCTCTTCTGTTCATTTTTAAGAGCTCATACATCTTCCCTCAGTATTGCACCAAGCCGCAGATGAGGATCAAAAACATCTGGTTATCGACAGAAACAGTAGACAAAGCAAAGAAGATTGATGTAAACACCTCAACTGAAACAATTAAAAACATGAAGTCTCTTTTTTCGTTGGGTATTGGGAAAAAATTTAGAACACTTTACTGATATTAGTCGCTCTGCTTATTAGACAACGGTATTCTCTACGTCCTTAAAATTTTTGAAGCACTTTTAGTTTTTAGGGCCTATACCTTCACGACGTGCTAGAGTTACTGGAATAATGATTGATTAACTAATAGATCGGACATTTGGGAGGTATCAGAAACTTGCTGCACCATGAATTAATACGTATAGCAAGAAGAACACCATTTATTTCCTTTTTGTAGGTTGGAAAGCAATCCCCTGACTACAAAGTAGATTTTATTCACTATTCGATTGTTTGATCGATGATCCTCACATCGACTTTCTCACTAAATATTTTTGCGCAGTAGATACAATAGCAACTGGTTCTAATTTAGTTTTGATTGCTAGTTTTCACTCTGATCAAAGTTGTCGTGAGAAAGGGGTAACGCATCACTAAACGATATAATAATTGTAGAAAGTTTAAGATTGAAATTGCTGCTTGATACGTGGAAAAATAATAGGTATAAGATCCTAAACTCGCGCACGAATTTGTTACAGGAATTGGCCTATGTAAATGAAAGCACAAATGTATGTAAACTGGTTTTTTTCGAACTGTAGTTTACTGAAGTGATAAACACGAAAAGATTTTTTTAAATATTGTTCTCTTTGTGGTGCCCAAAGCATAGAAAATGGAGTGAGACATGTCTTCGCTAAACTGCGTTTCGTAAACAACCATTCTGCTTCACCATAATCCAATAAATCCTCTCCTACTTCCTTTTCTCTTTTGCAACGTTATACCGGCAGCTCGTTTTGAACACAAATTTACACACTATAGTCAGGGTGACGTCCTGTTTTCAGCAAATAATGATACTATAAAATTAGGTTAAAAAATGTATCAAGCTCGGTGAAATATCATTTGTGATATCGAGATAACAACTTCAGTTCCGGAGAATGTGTTGTGATTTTGTATTCCCTGTCTGTCGTGTAGAATAGTGATCTTCACGGCCTTTTTGAATCAATATTAGAATGTGCGCAATGTTTCAAAACTGTTAATGTTCTAAATGTTGTTGTTCATTTGCATCAGTGCTATTTCTTATCGTCCTGAAAATAATAATTTCACGTTAGTATTTTTCCAGTGATTTTTTGAAAACGAAACCGTGGCCCTTTAAATCAATATTGAACGAGATAAAAAGGAAAGGTAATGAAAGGCTAAAGTTCTGTGAAGATAGAACTTTTACATGAGTATAGATAGATATGGACAGGATCTACAGAAAAAAGGAAGGCCAGCACTATCTGCATAAAATGAAGGTTTTTTTCACTTTATCGTAGACGCTAAAAACTTGGATTTTTCATGATTTTACAGTTCTTCATTTTCTTTTATAGAGCATTTAATTGGTCAATTTTTGAAATTTCTTTATATTATCTCATCATTTTACTCTTTTTTACATTAAACGCGGTTTTTTATCTTTGGGGGCCATGACTTAGAGTATGTTTTGAAAAGAATGGTTGTGTTTCCAGGCGATTGTGAAAAATAGAAAAATGTTTCGTTCCATTTTTCAGTTCTAAATTTAAAAAATTTCTTTCTAATTTTTGGATACTATACAAACCAAAGGCAACGGTTTTCATCGAAAACATGTTGGGAAGTTTACTTTCCTTTCGCAATTTCCCCTTCTTTTGGTTTCTTTTGCTGAGATAATAATTGCAAGGAGCTCTTCAAACTTATGCCAGAAATTTGCTTCGAGACCGAAAAGAGAAACACGAATTGTGTCATTTTTGATTAATATTTACACATAGATTTTAATTTTCTCGAGTGCCGTCATGAATAAGTGATACGTTTTAAGGCAATGAAATTCCATGCCAGTATCTGGTACCTGAAGGACTTCTATGATACCATGACTTCCAGATTACAACAGCCACAAGGCTAGCAACTGTGAGATATCTTTTTAATTAGTTGTAAGGATATCATGTGCTTTTTGACCCAATATAATGATCATCAATGTTAGCCATAGCATGCAGAAGCATTTTTGGGGGACATTTAGCTGCTTCTTTAGAGGAAAATATTAGCCCTAGCATGCAGAAGCACTTTAGGGGACATTTAGAATTTCAGTGATGTTCTTTGTGTCTTGGATTTTATTACTCAACTTTTTTCTTTGAACGTGGAATTCATAAGTAATCGGTAATGCTTCTGTTAGTCGATGTCCTCGTAGTTTTATCTCCTTTTTTCGTAATGAAATGCATGTAGAATGCCTGTTTCATTCACTTTTAAAAAAGAAGGAAAATGAATATTCTCCCTTCATACAAAATAAAGGCAATCGTCGTATTAGTTAATTTCACATCGAGTTAACAGGCTAGAAGAAATTGGAATGCCTGCTTTTACCACTTTTAAAGACGGCGGATTTTTTTTCTAATAAAAAAAGGAATAGGTTCCTCTGAACAATTACTTAAAATGTTCCAAAAAAGGCTGGTAGAATACAGAATGCTTCATTCTAATTCTTTTCATTGTCTTATAGTTTCACACAAAGTACGAGTAGTCCAATAATTGTATATATTTTTTTAAATAATTACTTCTGATTAACAAAACAGTTTATTGTCGCCACAACATAACAATGAGCCACCTCTTGGCAGGCTAATTTGCAAATTGAGACATTTTAATGATACACTTGTCTGATGCGAACAACGTGCAGACGACCATAATATTATACGCCACATATTATACTATTTCTGTAATCAAACTTTTTGCGCTGGTGGAAAATTCGTTCATTCTTGTTATTAATCAGCAGAGAAAGTGATCACAAAAATTTGAGCAAATTTATCCAATCCAAGATGTTAATAATTTGATATTATACATCAAAAGCGTTTGTGTTAGGTTGCTCCGGGAACCTTTTTAAGTGCTGGGAACTATTGTCTTTTTTGTTGACTTAGGGAGCAGATGTACAGTCCACTGAAGAAGGCAAATGGCACGTTGTTTTGGCTCGACCTGTCATTGTGCACGGCAGTTTTCAAGCATTAATTCATCGAATTTTAAGCAAATACAGCTGTATGAAAAAATCAAAACAGACCCCTCAACAAAAATAACGCTAAAACCTTAGATGTTTTCGTAATGGCGACTTGTTTAACTTGTATGAATCGGTTCGCTTGTTCGGTTTTAAGAAAACCAAAGATGATTGTCACTTTTAATTGGGTTATTTCCTTATTACGTGGAGTAAGATTGCTTAGAGTTGTTATTGTAAGAAAGTAAGCTTCCCGTAGTTATTGAAGAATTTGTGTCAAAGATCTCACGGGCTTAACTCCCTTCTACAATTTTCATGTTTTAAGGCGCTAAAGATCATGCCGCATGTTTGAGGAAGAAGTTTAGAGTTCCCCTGAAAAACGTGTCAACTGCTTTCCTTGTTGAAGAATTCTGTGTCAAGTCAAATAGGCTGACCAATGTGACGACGCGGGGGTAATTCTTTTGATTTATTTCACACCCCTGAATTGAACAACATACATTGAATGAAAAAATGATTTGCTTTTGATCGGAAAACGCCGTTCTTTGTACTAATCGAAGTTTCAAACTAGGGAATAATGGCAAAGTTAATTGAGAATGTGTATACAAACTATGCAGAAAAGGAAATACATTGATTAAAATTTCAAGTTTTGTTCATTATCCAAAGCTTTCCCTTTGTATACATTCGCAGAAGAAAATTTGGAAGGTCGGCAATTTGGTTTCAATATCTAGCCACAATTGAGCGCTTAAAACGCTGTTTATTCAGGCCACAGATACTTCAAATGAAATAGACCATCCTAGATGCTAAAACAAACAAGTTTGCCTGAATCTATTTCATGCTGATGACAAACTAATTGAGGAACTGGACACTTGATGCAAGGCTGACATGTCCACTAAAAGGGGTTTTGTTAAACTTATGGCTTGGACAATACCATTTAAAAAGCGGGAATGTTTAGATAAGTCAACAAAGCCTCGAACCTGTGCCGAAACAAAATCGTTCCTTGATCACGAGTTGAGACCTCTATATAATACGACTGTGCAACACCGTATACGTTCATTCACGGCGACCCTTGAAGGAAACACGTTGAACGACCGAGGCGTAAAACACACAGCTCCTTACTTTGCTGATATGCTTCCTTGTCCATTCTCTTCAGGTCAAGTTGCTTCAGTTTGCCAGTTTCTCCAGAATAACGGAGAGATAGATCGCCTTTCGCGATTTCTATGGTCCTTACCCGTAGATATAGAAAGCGACGAGAAAACTACCGAGACAATTCTTGTCTCGAAAGCTGTTGTTCACTTCTATCAGAACAACTTCAAGGAATTGTACGCAATACTCGAGAGCAACAAGTTCTCCAAAGAGAACCATGAACGACTACAGTGTCTCTGGAGGACAGCACACTACATCGAAGCGGAAAGGCAACGTGGCAGGCCTTTGGGAGCTGTAGGGAAATATCGTGTGCGAAGAAAGTACCCTCTCCCTCGGACGATTTGGGACGGCGAGGAGACCACTTACTGCTTCAAGGAGAAATCGAGGAACATTCTGAACAAGGCGTACACCGACAATCCATATCCCACTCCTCGTGAGAAGTATGAGCTAGCGAAGATGACTGATCTCACTGTAACACAAGTCAGTAACTGGTTTAAGAACAAGAGACAACGAGTGCGCGCTGCAGAAATGAGAAAAGGGTAGGTTAGTCCCTCACTCGTTTAGACCAGTTTATTTTCTTTTACATGTTTATTTGAAAATGTATGATCATGAGAGGTCACGATTTCGCTTTTGTGTTTCATTTGCATGGCTGTGAACTAGACCAAAGATTTATCTTACTGGTTACCTTTACATTTTAAGAGTTTTTTTTAACTCTTTATTCTAGCTCATGTTTCTGGTTGCTCATTAATAGCTCCTTAAAAGAAAATTAGTGAGTTTCCGTTACAGATACTAGCTAAAATCAACTGAGAGTAGAAATAACCTTGTTTCGATTATCTATCAGTGTTTCAATCGTTCAGAAATATTTGAACCTATCTTTATCTTTGATTATCACGTTTTTGATGAGATCTGTGCGAGAAAAACTAAATACAAGTAAAATACCTTCATTTCCTCTGAAGGTAGCATTTTAGTGCGAAGATAGAAGTGCGATTTCATTCTAAGATTAAACGGAAATATTGATAATGCTTTTTGAAATTCTTCTTTAATAATGATACATTTGTGTTATGGTCAAATTTGCGATACTCGTGTATCAGTTTTTCATTATTTTTCTCCAGTGATAACCATCCTTTACTCTTATGTTAATTTCTGCAAAGTTGTTTAAGGAGGGAGTCATTGCTTAACCCTTTAAGCGCCTATTAACACCCTATTCCAGCCGATAAGATGTTAATAGGTTCCGATTATCCCCGAAACATTGACCGACAAAGAACTGAATCGCAAGCCGCTAATTACAAAACAGAGTATTTGCAAAAAGGGCATTCGGCATCTGCGTCTCCTATTGCACGCTCTTTACGTTGAAATCATTCAGTTTCAAAAGGAGAACGTGTGTTTTTAGACACTTCTGACATGAGAACTAGCGGTGCATTGTACAATGTATCGAATCTGCATAAAGTCTTGTATTGAATGGCAATTCCAGTGATGTCTAGAATATTCAATGAATACACTATTAAGATTTCCTCGAATTGATTACCGCCATAAAAATGTTTCTCCTTGTTCAGTCTACGAGAAAACAAAAGGAGCTAAAAAAGGCGAAGTAATTACTACGAGAAAGAAATGAATGTTAAACACTTATAAAACGAAGACATTAACATCAGATTGTTGGATTGATTTTATGTGAAAAGCTTAATGAATACCCCATTCTTCAATGTGAAGTCGATTTTTACCTTAATTATCATAAATGTTCATTTCTGAAGAAATGAAAAGCTTAGAACTACATTTTGCCCAATACATTGTCCATTGAAAATATACATATACATATTAAGTTATGAATATTTCGTTCCTTGTTTTTCCCTGTAAAAAGAGATCAGATTTCATATCGATGGCCAGTGCTGCTGCGTAAACTTCACCAGTGTTTGTGTGCGGGCAGAAATCGTATCACTGAATCAACAGTTTTGATACTCATGCTTCAATCATTTACCCGGTCCAAATGGATAGGAAGTTTTAGCGCTGTTTACTTTTCATTTTAAAGCCTCGCGCGTATTTGTGCACCTGCGCGTTGAAAAACCAACCGACAATATTAGCTAATGGCTTCAGCCATCATCAAAGCACGAGATTCGATACTTATTGACATCAATACAGAAGTTTTTTGTCGCGCTTCCAAAAGCATACGGTAGAATTACAATTCTTACTGCCTGAAATTTCCGCAATTTATTCTAATTTTCAACACAATGCTGCACTGTACGTATCACATTCGGTATTGTATACACATCATGTCGTCGTTGTAGAAAAAATGCATGAAACGTGACTATTCATAGTCGCCCTCTATGCTGTTACGTGAAAATATGACCTAAATCTCAAAATTTCTCATGCTTTATTGCCGATGTTAAGGCGACTTTTGTAGTTCCTCTGGTGCCACTTATGGTTCCGCGTCCTCATTTGTTGTCATTTCAAGCGAAACATGTTATAACTGACTTTTCATTGTCAGCCCCTTTGCTTCGTATATATTTCTTTGAGTCGCAGAATAGAATATGAATATAATATGGAATAGAATATATATTTGTATAATTTCTGTATTGTATGATAATATTAGTGTTTTATTTATTGTTGTTGTTGTTTTTTTATACTATTTGCCTCTTTGGCCTGATAAAAGATGAGGATCGAAGAACATTCTTGATTAAATTATAGCTTTGGATAATCTTTGAAGTCGCTTGAATGACAACACCACCATGCTACTGATGAATAAAAAGTGTAAAAGTGTAATGATATGGGTGCTGATAAAAATAAGTTAAATTAAAGTTAACTCTCCATTTATGCCTTTTCCAGGGGTCTGGATCAAGACGGAATGATGAAAATGAAAGGACCAGGACGGTCCATGATGTTCAGCTATGATGAACTACGATCTCACTTCCCTTACCTTATTCCACAAGCCCCAGTCATTCCAACGCCACAGCCTTCGGTGTCTGCAGCTTACTTTCAAGACCTTCACGTGCACGCTCATGCACATGCTCAGTTTCACCGTTCATACGCGCCGCTCCAAACGTACCCAGCATATGTTTCGGGAAGTCCTCATCCATGTACCAGCACGTGCACCAGTAACCATACACAAGTTACTCCTCTGAGTTTGTCTTCACAGACAAGTGCTTTTGAACCGATCTATTCTAGTCGGCTTGCATTGGACAACTTGTAATCGCGAATTATGTTTGAAAATTTAATTGAATAACTTTTTAGCGTTTTCTTTTGTTTTGTTTGTATTTTTCAGTCACATTAATCTCCTGAATTAGCTATACATTGTACAGAGATTATAACTAAAAAGGAAAAACTATTTTCCGACCAAGTAGAAAGCCTCTGCTACGGGGTGTTCGTGGCTGATCTTATAATGGGAAGTTATATGTATGTATTCATTGGTGTACAGCATGCAGTTACTTGTTAGAAATTGAAAAGACAATACAATACAAATGGACTAGCTAAGAGATATTCGAAGATTAAAAGCTTGACTGCGGTATCTATTTTAACTCATTATTTGAAATCGTCTGGTTTTCATTGAAAATACTTTGAACTCTATAATATCACTTTTACCACTTAAATCGACATTTTTGTAGCAGCTAGCATTGCTGCTGATAATTTTCAAATACTATTGAGGAGGCAGGAGCACAGTGGAATACTCTCAATAAAATAATTGAAGGCTAAGAAGAACCAATTTTATCAATGATAATAAAAATATATTCATCAGTGTGATATTGTGTTTACAAAACATATGTGGTCAAAGAAGATATACCCTCAGAGGAGAAGAATCTAATCAAATAGCAAGAGAATCACATTTTAATACTTCTTCTTCTTCTCAGTGATTTGATCTCCTCCTTTATTTTCGTATATTTACAGCCTTTCTTTCCGCCGATATCTCCATATATTTTGTTTGTTCTTTAAATTAGTACTTATTATATTTTCACATATGCTCCCCTGTCTCGCTACTCAACGCACTACCCTTTGTCTCTGAATAGAAGGCTTCATACTTGACCAAATTTTTAACTTCATATCTGGTTAAAACCTTCTCGTTAGAGGAGATAGAAACGGATGTAGGCAAGAGTAAAACAGAAATTACTGAAAAAGTGCGTCTAAAAGATGGGAAGATTTATAACTATCATAGGTACACTATGCATCGGACAGCTTACAGACACCTTAAATAATGATGAATACCAAAGAAGTAACAGGGGAAATGAGTTCTTTTGATGTGATTACTTTCGTAAAGCACTAATATATTACAGAAATACGAAGCAAGCTAAATTAACTGAAATGAAGATGGTATTGCAAGATGCGAGTAATTGTTGAAATCAGAGGATGAAATGTGACCATCCAGTCACATTCATAAATTCATTCATTCATTCTTTGATTCACATATTCAACGACACAGGCGAAACCTTATACTTGAGTCGTTATGAGTATGACCTCGTCAACAAGATTGATACGGCAACCAAGATGTTCATCACCGCCAAGATATTTTTATAGTCATTTCTATCTTCTCGATGAGTTATAATTTATATTATATACGTCAGTGACGTATACGACGATCTCCTCCCTGAAAGGAGGTCGATAACGTGCAATAGACTAGTATTCCATACAGGGGACGTATAAATACACCCATTAGCTGCACACTACAGTGGTTGAGCTTTTTCCTCGATTGTCAAACGTTATCGGTGACGAGCCTCATCACGAGATTGAATAGCTTGAACACGGCAACTCTATGAAAATAGTCAGTTATTCGCGTAAGGGTTTCTGTCTGTCTAACCATAACTACACATGAGGATAAAATGAAGGTCTTAGTGGGGTTAACCACTGGCCGTACCACAGCCAAAACAATAAACCGTTAAGCGCAACAATTGACAAATTTTAACCGTTAGTCGTGAAGAAAGGTAACCATAAAAAATTGCGGGTGACAGCAATGGGAACATGTTATTCGTTAGCCTTAAATTGGCCAAAATTTTACCGTTTAGCTGTAAAAGCCGTCAGCATGATGAGACCCTCTAATATGCACACGTTAAGCCTTTATCACTCAAGCTTCTTCAATGAATGAGCTTAATTATTTTTTTTTTCTTATGTGCATTGTCATTTTGATGAATTGATATATTAACGTTACCCAGGAAACTGGCTATTTTGAGTGGTTATGTTGCTCGTATTTAGTGGCTTCGCTTAAAATTTATCTGTCTTTCCTTTTAAATAGAAATAAACCTCGTAAATCTTAGTTACACCATGACATCAATTAAAATTTTATAAGGGTCGCAATGGTGCGATGGCTCTTACGGCCAGCGGTTTAAGATTTGGCCCTTTTTGTGGCGTACGGTTTTTTTCCCCGTTGCAATGAAAGAAATATTTTTTGGTTAACTTCTTTCACGACTAGCGGTTAACATCTGTTAATTTTTACGCCTAACGATTAATTCTTTTTTGTCGCTTTATCATTGAAACCCTCTTATATAGACTACCTAGAGGGGTCGCATTCTGCTTCGCTTTACGTTTAATAATCAATTTAAATTCTAGAAAATTTCTTTTGCTTTTTCCTGTCAGCTGGGATCGGTAGACATTTTCACTTGCAATGGATTGAGGAATTAAACTGTAATAAGAGAACATTGTCCGCTTTTTGCCTGAAAGTTCTTCGTATTAGGTTCAATATTTAGAGAAGAAACGGCGGTAACGAGGAAACTGAACAATTCAAGGTCGAGAAGGTGCCAATCGCGCGTGCGTTCATAAATCGCCACGTGGCCTTGTCCTTTCGAATGCAAATTTCCTTTAAACAAAACTTACTTTGAATATTACTCCAACCAGACATGGAGGAAATCGTTTGACACCCTCAGAACCTTTACATAGCGTGAGGCTCGCTTGTTTTGCTCCAGTACACGACTCGACAAATTTGGCCCTATTTCTGCCCCTTGAAGCGTGAACAACGACGCTAAGATGCGCCTTTTGACCGTAATTTTTGCGCTGTGTTTACACTTGATACCTGCAAATAGCCGCCATCTGCAATTTCAACTTAGCGGCTTCGAATGCTTCTACGAGGACCTGGTGGAAAACACGGAATGTTCGCTGGAATATGCACCTATCACCGGCGCCGATCCTCGCATAGACGTGTACATCGAAGGACCCGACAGCGACGTTATTTACAAAGAAGAAAAGAAGGACTATGATCTCCACAAATTTAACGTTACCATGAACGGAACGTACGCAATCTGCTTCAGTAACGTTTTTGACTTCTCTATTGGCGAAAATCTTGTTTACTTCGATCTAGTCAAAGGGAATGAAGACGAATTGGGCTATGATGGAGTCAGCGGAACACAAACAGCCTTGACTCTCTTCGAGAAGTCTTTCCTAAATATTCACGAAAATATGAACTTGATCGAGAGATATCAAAATTATTACAGGTTACGAGAAGCAAACACCCGAATGGCCGCCGAATATTTAAAGCAAAGAGTTCAGTGGTGGTCAGTAGGACAATCATTTGTCATTGTTTCGGTTGGTATTGCTCAAGTTTACGTACTACGTAGATTTTTTACTGTTTCAAAAGAGGATCTCTGAACAACAACAAAAAAATTATCCGCTCTTGTATTTGCATCATTGACAGATGTTCATTGTGTGCGTCGTTTGATTATTTCGCTCATCTCCAGCTGACTTCACTCCAGCTGACCTTAAACACTTCACACATTTAAAATATAAGATCAATAAAACATTCCAAAAAATTGGACTCTCTTACTCAGCAATCGTATCGATAGAGTATTGGTATGGTTATATGTTTACATTGATTATTCATAAGAGGTAAAATCACCATGGCTAACTGGTTATTGATGTAGCACTTTAAGTTAAGACTAATTTAACTTGACATCAAACCTATATACGGGAAAATTCCTATTAATTCAAAATAATTTTAATTTGTTTCCTGTTGTAGCTGTATTGTTTTTATTCATTGTTAACTTCATGATGAAGAGGTATTAGTGATATCGATGTTAATTCAGTAAAGTGACAGGGGGGGTTTCTTTTTTTTGGCGTGCGATGGTACAGTTTGAAGTTTGACGGAAAGACGAGCCAGGTAATGGTTCTTAAAAAAGTGATGATTATGGAGTCAGCTCTGAGAGAATCATTTTTGATAATATTAAGGAATTTTATGGTCAGTGTTTTAAATTGTCATTCAGTAACAACATAATTTAGACCATTGAATGAGATAAGGATGAGGATCCACAGACGAATTGATCTTCTTACGTAGGGAGGAAAATGTGTTTTGTTTGTTGTCACTTGCATCACGCTTTTGAACACACCACTTACTATACGCTGACGATGAGTTTAACTGCAACTGATGCTTGTCGGATTAAGTTTAGTAGCTTAAAAGTGAAGATATTAGAGTTCTTAGGCAGTTCGGGAGGTCATTGACAGTCAAAAAACCTTAAAATCTTGAAAAATGTCTCAATTAGTCGTCTTCTAGCATATTCTCTGGCCTGTTGTAAAATAGGTAGTCGCAGTAATAACGATCAGCCTGAGAATGCACTTCTTTTCGGCTTGGTAGGATAAAGCGATTTTAGGTATCTAAACTTTGCTTTGGAGGAAGGCGGCTTATATGGCTAAGATGCCTAAGTGGGCAGAATGACGAAGTAAGTAGAGGGAAAGTCATGTAAACCTGCAATGATTTAATTTCATTTTGTTTTCTCGCCCAAATCACTCGACAGGGAAGCGTTGATCCTTCTATGCAGCAGGAATGAAAGCTGATGCAAGGAGAACTATGCACCAGCAATGAAAACTTTTCAAGGAAAACTAGCTAAAGTGCGATTTCCTTTAGAGAAAATCTCTCCAAGTGCCAAAGAGAAGTCAACTTCTCTCGAAATTTTTTCTCAGTTTTATTTCTTGAAAAGTCCCCTTGCTCGAAATCTGAATCAAAAGTTATTTGGAGAGGGACACTCAAGGAAAAGGATCAATTAATTACTCAAGCAACCACTTCTGCCACAAGAAGAGTAGCTCAATATATTTTTGCTCCCACTGAATTACCGAGACCTTCACAGCGTCGTCGAATTAAAAAACGCGGAAACAATTAGGCGTGAGAGACCTCAATTTTCACGAAGATCGACTCAAAGCAAGCCGATCTTACATCAGATAAGTGCCGGGGACAAAATCAGTTCTTTCTTTGCTACAAATCATGCTGTGCTAATTTCCGAAGGATCACGCTAACAAAGGAAGTAATACAAAGTATCATAAGAGAGCAGAATAAATTACGCCGTTTTATTTCAAGCCAATTAAAGTATGACGTCTTGATTCCTGGTTTATGTGTATATGTAAAATCAATATCGTGATTGAAACTGTGTCTTTTATGCTATCTTAACTTGAAATTTAATCAATTATTTCCGGCTACAGAGCCAACATCAAGCCTTTCGTGAACCCAGAACATAAGATCAATCCAGCACACAACAACACAAATTTTGCTACATGTTAAATTCAAGAAATAATCATAATTTTACCTATTTAGAAGAGCTCAGTTTCTTTAAATATACTAAACATGTGACAGTGTTTTTTTTTACCATTTTTCTTCTTTCGACTGAGCTCAACATTGTTTGCAACATCACTGACAAGTAAGATGAAAGAGAAAAAAGTCGCAACTATCTGGAAAATAGCTTACAAGGTGTTCAAGCTTTTTCTAGTAAACCAGCCGTAGCATTACAAGTAGTCCCATTTCTTTTACAGCGCGCAATTTATGAATGATGTCATGTTATGGTAAGTTGCCATTACTCAAAGCGTTTATTTTCCCATTCGCAGACGGTATAAATGCACCAAACAGAACTATTCAGCCTACTCAGACATGGTCAATTCCTTTGTTATTTCTCAAACATCGCTTATGTACTTTTATTTCATACTATGTTCAACCCTTCAGCCTGGCTGCGTCTTTTCCTGAAGGTAAGATTAAGAAGAAATTACAAAATGAAAAAAAAAAAGGAATAAAAAAGAAAAAAAAGAATCGAGGAGTTTGCTATAAATAACCATTTCACCCCTTAAATATCGAGCTTTGTCTTTTCAATAACCATACAGGAGGGTATTTTGAATGATTGCCATGTAGTATATGTGAATGATCAAACTGCATCCACATTAGTAATCAACTTACCAAAAGTTTAAGCATTCTTCAACATGGTTTTTATCTTCTCGTCTTTCGCAGTGTCCATCAATTTTTTCCCATCTGGGTCTTCTCCATCGGGATCTGCACCCTGAAAATTTCAAAGTAGGAAGTCAACTTTTGGAATGGATATTCAGTGGAACAAAGTGCGCTATGGATTACCACAATTTCAGTGAAATTGAGTTAAATTTTTGAACCAAAGATACTTAGAGCACCAGCGTCAAGCGTTATTAAATGTACAAAGACCGCTAGACGGTAAGACAGTTTCTGACTGCGGACTCTCGTTTACCCTAAGAAAGTGACCAATTACAATGTTAGCTCTTCATACAAATAGTAAAGGTTATTCATCTGAAATGGGTCTTTTTCGTATTAGGTAATTAAAACCATTCCGGTTTTAACAAATGGTTGCTGAATTAAAGTTACGGACGATTATTTCTTCCCTGCTAACACTGGAAAAGGTTGGTGAGTTCCTTAAATAGAATTTAAGTTGAATTAAAAAAAAAAAAGAAAAAAGCCAGATATCTAACCAGAAATTGTTAATCTCCAAAATATAGCCAAATGGCGATGCTTTTGACAAGCCCTGCTTAGCATGAGCTAATTAGATGAGCTAATGTAGCTCAGCAATCACAGGCCCTAATGTGCTCAATCAGGTGGCTAAGCAAACGTTCTTCCGTGTGAATCTTGATTCAAAGTACATTATACCCCCTCCACTGCGCACCTACATGTTATTGGATGAAAACATACGAAAACAGTTTCCAGTGAGAAAAACGCCAAATGTCTTTTGAAAAGACACTTTAAAATCGTAAAGAATCCAAACACGGAACATATCCTTTTTGATCCTTCATAATTGCCAGAAATTCAGCATCCCCATTCAGTCCTATCACTCCGGACAATGTGACAACATTTTCCAGGGACGTTGGCTAAGATTTAAACAAAATAGTGAGAGGATTCTCTCTTTCAGCTAAGCTTTCTCATTACCATTTGCAGCAAATACTCCACAAGATTGCTGTTCTCATTCATAACTGCGTAGTACAATGGAGAACACTCATCCTCGTCAGCTAACTGGGGAAGAAAAAAACCTAAATATTTTTAGCAAGATGTGTATTGCATATATAAGTATATAAAGCTGTTAGTACAAATGTTTAAAGCTCTTATTAAGTTACTTATTTCTCCACTCATGCACATACATTTGACTGAATCTAATATAAATAGGAAAGGAAACTAAGTCTTTTCCACCTCAATACCCCAAAACTAATCTGAGATGTAGTAGGTCCATGCGAGGAGAAGAGAGCAAAGAACTGATGCCGTCATAGTATTCATATTTTCGACTTTACAAATTTTAATCCGTTGAAAAAAATCTTATTTACGGAATCTTTCTTGCAGAAGCACATTCCAACATTTGAAATTTTCTTCATGTTTGAAATTCAAGGTACGAAATTCATCCATGTATTCTCCAATGCACACTCAGGAAATCGCCCCTGCTTATATTAAGGTGTAAATTGTAAGAGGCCGAATGTAGGGGGAACTAATTCGTTATTTAAGTTTTTTCCGTCATTAAATTTTTCGTTTCCTTAAGATAATCTAATATACTTCTGCGGACATGTTACACTTACCATAAATCTCCCATTTCATTTGCTATGATCTTTATTCTCTCCGTATCCTCTAAACATTACTCGTTACTTGAACTTCACGTTTTCATTTCATTATGATTTCCGTGTCTCGGACAGTAAATTATCAACAGCGTACTCCGACTGGATAAAGCTTTGAACCTGAAATTTCCTCGAAGCACGTCTATTTCCATTTGACAAAAAGCTAACTCCACGCTCTTGCGTGAGAAAACTTTAAAAGATTTCAGTCACGTACATTTTGAAGTAAAGTAACTTGGTTCGTGTGAAATTTTCCGGTGTTCGTGATGTTATGTGAAAGATCAATAGTTTCACGCCTTTCTAGAAATTAGGGTGCAACGCGGGAATGTGGCTACATATTGGAATTATACATCTAGAAAGACTTAAGGTTAAAGTTATTCACAAAAAATATTGTTTATCCATCATTGACTCTTCACTGCTAAGAAAGGTTGCCTCTGGATTAAATATGTCAATAAACAGGGAGCTTCACTTGAACTATAATATGACGTCACTCAATGAAAGAACGTATTTTAGTCCACACACACGATGACATTGACTTTATCTCCGGCATTAGGCGATCGTTTAAATCAATCACTGATATGAACCATTTTTGTTTTTCCTTTTTCAGTTGATTTAGTTGGTCACCCTAATAGATTTGTATTCAAATTGAAACAATGGGGTTTCATTTCAAAGGTCGAAAGGTCTTTCGTTGAATAAAATGAAAATTATGGAAGGACTTTAAGCTGTCAAATTCGTGGTTGTGGCACCCTTGAAGATCAATAACAGTGTTGTTTTTGTCGTCTCTGGGATGTTTTCATTCAATCCAGGTATTACTATGATTTTGAAGAAGGGCGACTTGTTAAGTTATCATTACTGAATCAGTTCATTCATTAGTTCAATTGGCAAAAAGACCGCGTCATGGTAGACAGCACCTGAAGAGGTTGCCATTATTTCAAAATCAGTCTCTTTGAAGCTTCGTAAATGAGCTCGAGTAAATAACTTACGTTGACATCCGCTCCTTTCGATACAAGATACTTTATAACGTCCAGCTTTTGAGCTTGTACGGCAATGTGAAGAGGACTGCGTCCATGTTGAATTGGCGTGTTTACCTGACTTCCCTGAAAGAAGAAAGAGGCAAGACTGACTATCATGGCCAGCAATAAGATATTCTTAATCCTGTAGGTGGGTGATTATGGATTGACAACGACGCCTTCGATGCATTCTAATACGGTGGACATACCAATTGCTTGGTGAAAAGTTATCAAAAAGATTAAGTTAACTAGGATATCACATTTAGCACAATTTGTTCACAGCAAGACGTACACTGTTCCAAAACACTCAAATCTTCAGATTATAGACAGTTACAGCTTTTATCTCTGTTATTTCGGCTCTTCAAATCGTGTTTCACAGATAAGGTGTCAAACCTCAGAATGAAACAGAAAATCCAAAACGAAACAAATCATTTTACTCACGGGTCGAGAGAATTTCTCTTTCACGACTTCTAAATTGCCTGATCTTAGCGCTGTGACTAAGATGCTCATGTCTGCTCCTTCAAAATGATTTACTCTTCAAGAATATCACTCGTGGTCAAATCCAAACAACAAGTCGTCAACTGCTTAAACACTGCTCGTTATATATGCATGTCTAGCTCACGCTATGTCACGTGTGCCATTTTGGTACAGCGCGTTTACGATCATGGATATTTTCAAAAAGCAAACCAAAAACAAGAAATTATTAATGATGATAAAAAGTAGGATATTGTTTGTCATTACGTGTATTCCTTCCGATTTGAAAATTACTACTAGCCGACTTCATTTACACAATTTGCCCCACGCAATAAAGGGCGGAGGGGAAGGGGGGAGGAGACAGTACGTGCAGGCTACTATCGAAACCCAGCCGACTGGGACTAACGTATGAAAGTAAACCTGATAAAGGAGAAAATTCTTTCACCGTAAACCGGATTGGCGAGAATTCCTGAAAGTGCAATAATCGTGGGTTAGCTTACCTCTCTCTGAACCCTTGATAAGATAAATCTTCTTAGTTGAAACAATGAACTCCGCGATCTGATAATAGACTTATCAACAGTAAGAAAAGGAAATTCGCACGAAATCATCCCATTTCAGTTAAAAAAATAAACGTTACAAATTAAAAACGTGATTTTATTCGTATAATGTCAAGATTTTTCGCATTTGTCGAAGGCCTGACTTGTAAGCCCTCAACTTGGTCCAATTGTTTAAGTTCCTCTTTTGAAATGCCTCTCAGTCTTTCTATCTCAGTTGTGGCACGGATAACCTACAGTCTAGTCGTTATACGGTTTCTGTATTTTTAAACACATTTTTTTTATCCAGAACATGAAATTATCGCTGTCAAAAATGTCTCGCTGATCGTTCAATTTCAAAAGGCATCTTCTTACAATTCTCAAAAAAAAATCGTGAGCACACGTCTGTGAGCTTGGCTTCTTCGCTTCTCTTTACTGAGTTTCCATCCTACACATGAATCACTATGGTGCTCTTTTTCCAAACCCCACTCCGAATCATCTAAGTACCAATTATTCTCACCGAGAAATCAAACGAAAAGAAAGATGGCTCGGTATTCGGTTAGCATTGACAGGACCGTGACCCGTCGATTTGCATATGTAATGAAATAGGCCCGAGGGCACTTAAGGATTGATTTCACTTGTATTTTCAAAGTTTTCCGATAAGAGGCCCGAGTTGACAACGTTACACGGCTTCACTTAGTTAAATTGAAATCAATAAATCAAAGGCTCAATCAGCATCGAGTAATCATGCCCTCTTGATTACCAATTAAGAAAAAATGCCCTCTGCTTCAGTTAATCAGCATTCAGTTATTTTGCCGCGCATGTGATAAAAAGAGAAAGCGCCTTGTAGACGAGGTGGCCACACATGTGTATCCTTTACCAAAAAGGATCGTCTTATGTCTGTGCTTTTTTTTTCCCCTGTGTTTCATTTCTCCTTCTGTGTTCACGTAAAGATTAACCTTTACTTTTGGCGGTGCATTTGGTTTACTGCTTTCTTTTCTCCCCCGCCAAAATCTTACCCTTTTTAATCTTTTTTAAGGCGATAAATTGTGGAAAAATACTTATCCAGTCCGGCTTTCGGGGGTCTAATAATACTCAGAAGACTGAAGACTTCAATTGTTCCTTCACGATACAATTAGTGGGAAGCCATATGTCACATGTAGTGGCGGATTGCTAAAGGCAGCGAAACCGTTAATTTATTACAATAAAAAAAAACTCCAGAAGTCCATATAACAGTTTAATTTTAATAGGAGTGCCGAAGTAAGAGTTCAGAGCAGCTAGATTAGTGAATGTGGTCAGATTTCTGCGTAACAAACAAGATCAGCTCAGTGGTCTATTGTGAGTTGTGTTGTTGCGAGAAAGGAATAGATAAGAATTACATAGAGAAGAAATAAAAAAGCAAAATAAAGTAAATGTGCCAATGGATAAGTAATTACTCGAGCTTCCGTAGGAAAGCCCGAGTCTTAAAATGCAAGCCGTTCTTGGTTGCCAAAAGTGGGGTCATGGTCCTAGGCGTTCCTAGGCGTGCATGATTGCCATCTCCTTCAAGTTTAAGGCCCGGCCAAACGCACGCAACATTTCAACACAACATCTTACAAAATTTTTGAATCGTGTTGTGAGATGTTGCGAAGGACATCCAAAACTGTTGCAACAAAAATTTGACCATTTTCAAACTTGATCCAACACTATCCAACATATTGCAACATGTTGTTACAGGTTGGCCAAACGTGTGCAACACATTGCGCGCAACAATGTTGCAGGATGTTGCGTTGAAAAGTTGCATGCGTTAGAATTTCGAAAGAATTTAAAAACATTTTATAATAATGTTGTACATTTCATGTGTTTATTTCGCCAAACTGCCGCGTGTCTAGTGCAATGCAAAGTTCATTTAGTCAACAGCCCAGCGATATGATGGGTAAGCCTTTTTTTCTGGTCTTGATTTCGCCTTGCTTTGCCCTCTCATGTTAAATGCTTTTAACAGTCTATTTGGACTACAAGTAGTATCAACTCCTTTGTAACTTTTATTCATTATAAGCAGGGTGCTTGAACAACGATTGTATGATCTTTATCTGCAACTGAATAGTATTTTCATGTGCGTTATGGTGATCAAACCTTCTAATCTCTGACCACCCAAATAAGACTACCAAGCAGTAGTTCACTTTCGTATTCAGAAACTTTCTTTGTCACACAATCTGGATATACAGGAATTCTTGACTTGTGATGATTTTAAATGAAAGGCACTCTTAATTCATAAATCATCATGGGTTAACTTCCAACCAACCAAACGTGAGGGCCGTTCTGGGGAATATTGACTCGAAGTCGTGGCAGTAAGGACCAAGTGAGTTCAATACAAAAAAGACCGAAGACCAATATTCCTCAGTGCATCGAGCAGGCGAGGTAAGTAAGTTATTTATGATATGGCACTGGGACCATACTTGTTTATTTTCAATTCGCCGGTTTTCACAAACAAGAATGCATGGCCTTCCGAGGAAACAGTCTGTAGGGCAAAATACCGACCAATTAAGAACCAATCAGAACGCTCGGATTTTTCTCAGGACTACATTGCCATATAAATAATACAGAATATTTACCGCCGCGCCTTATTTAGTTGTGAAAAATATTCTCCTGGCATTTTGAAAAAAGTAATAAACTCTTTTCAAGGTTAATTTCAAGCACCTAATCAAAAGTATCCACTCGTTTTTTTTACAATTTCATTTTATTAATCTGATGCCATAAAATTCTATCTTGTGACTAATACTCTCATCATTTTCTTTGTTATTGTTATGCAGTCTATCATGTTATTTCTATAAATTTTTCTTTCCATTCTAAATATCTGTGGTGATCTTTTTTAAATATGAATTCTCCTCAGGAAGTTTGCTGAATTCGAAAACTTCCACAAAACGCACTTTCCTCCTTCACATCTTAGGAGCTGAAACTGATAATGTTAGTCCACTTCCGGCTAGATTAGGATAATGAATACTGAAAAAGAAATCATGTTAGGGAGAAGAACAAAAACAACAAAATCGCTGAAATTGACAGTGTACTTTAAATTATCGCAAATACCTTTCTAACTTCTTTCTGTCTCCCCAGCTTCCTTAATTATTTCTAGGCGAGGATCTCATGGTACAAAATTCCTTACATTACGGTAAACTCGGAAACAAATACTAGGAAATTTTCGTTACCTTAATAATTCATTCTATAACAACTTCCATCTTATCAAACCCTACTAATCATGTAAACGCCAGACCTAAGTTACCCACCACCCAGTGATAGCCTTTCCACTTAAACAGTGTTGCGTCCCTTAAAAATATGATCCAAGATAAATGTAAATTATATATAGATCAGTAAGTTTTCAGTTAAACCCGCCTTTCTCCTCCCCTAGAATGTTGTGAAATTAAGAAGTATCAAGGCCGTAACTCTCGTCTTTCCTTTCCGTCCAATCAAATTTGGGAAAAGAGGCTCTGAGTTAAAAATACTGGTAGGTTGTTTTAAATAATAACGGAAAACATAGGAATTTACTATAAAGAATTGTTCAAAAATAGGAGTCGTGGATATGTATACTAAAATGCACAACAAAATAAGAGGTTTTGAAATGCCAGTTTCAATTGGGTTAAACTATCGTTAACTTTTGATAACTCATTATATTAGATAGCCTCCTCACTGTTGTTGTTCTTTATAACGTTTCACTAATAGGCTAGAAGTCACGCGGCAGTACTTAATTACATTCTTTTCTGTCTATATTAGGCTTTTTTAGAAATTATACGAAATCGTTATTGAAATTCGTCCTCTACTTCAACACATACTTGGTCAGTTACTCTATTATTTAAAATCTTATTTAAGTTCTGTCTCCATGATATCATCAATTCTACATGCATGGTCTGGCAGGGTGGCTTTTGATTTAAAGACCAGTTGCTTCATTTAGAACCTTTCCACAGTGGGCACAAAACTTGTCAAACATGTTTATCTTGTGACCACACCTGCTACAAAAACGGCTTAAAGGAAGCCCACAGGCCCGCTCTCCTAGCCTAGAATCGCCACCGTAAGGGTTATGCGGCATAGAAGAAAACTTGATTGCCATTTCCGGTTTAGGTTTCACGAGCAACGGCGGCGGAAGTGGTGATGGTGGGTAAATTCTTGAAGGCGAACATGCATGCGTGCTGGGCAACGGTCTCGTTATGACGTTTCGAGTCATTGGACCATGCAGGAAGGGAGGAGCGTGATTAGCTGTAGGAAGGCCGCATCCAGCCAACGCTGACATATTATTGCTTCTTGATTCTTGAGAGGACAACAATAGCTCAATGCTTTCTACTACGCTGCCATGGCAACTCTGAAGAATGAGCTCCAGTGTGCCCTTGTTATGGTGAGGAAACAGCTTGCCAAGTAATTCCATTGGTGGATGCCTTAGAGACAGCATACTTAGCTCTTTTGAAATCCTTGGATATCTGAAATCATGAGGCCTTTCATGAAAGTTTTCCAGTAGGTATTTATGGTTTGGATTTATATTTTGGTCGACAGAATGATCAGGAGTTTTTCTTTCCTCGGCGGAACTGGTGTGGACACCTTTTTCAGTATGCTCGCGAGGTTCTGGTTTAACTTCGAGGTCTGGGGAGAGGGCAATTCTTTTGGGGCTGGTTCTCTCTTCTTCTTCATCCTCCGAGACTGAGCCGCACCGCTTCAGAGGTTCTGTACCTGAAGACAAAAGTATAATTGAGTGCATAGCTTCTGCTTTCGGTGTCCGGTATTTCGATTGGTCTCTTGAAATATATAATAAAAAAAATCGTGTTTTTTATAGGTAATCTCATGATTTCGAGTGCAATTTGGAATAAATAAGCACGAGTAAATTTTTTTAAAGACTAACAAAATTGCCGACACGAGCCCGTAGGGCGAGTGCAATTTGTGGTCTTTGAAAAAATTAACAAGTGC